AAACTCATATCTCAAGGTGAGTGGTGGCATTTGCGTTGTAGATGTCGATAGGCTCCGGTAACCGCTTAACACCAGGCGGTCCGTGAGTTCGTCCACTCATCAAAGTAAAAAAAGAGGGTAGGAACAAAAAAAAAAAATATCTACGACTCGCATAAGTCGATGAAAATACTATTTGCGCTCACATTAAGTCAGGCGTTTCGAAATCTCCAGAACGATTTGCAGGTCTTGGCAGTCTCTGACGCTCTGTGCCTTCCTGCACATCACTTGAAAATTTCATGCGTCCGCAAGCTTACGAGCTTAGTATGGAAATGAGTTGGTTACGAATGTACACAGTAGGTCAGTTTAGGTCCGACGAATTCGGTGTAAATTTAATATTTATGAGCGTGTGTGGAACAAAGAAATGTGCGACATTCTAGTGTTGTTTCTACTGAATAAACGAGTCGCTCGTTTTGCGCAGTGAAAATAATCTCTTCTTTGTTTATAAGAGTTGTTGTTTTAGGTAAATTGATGCCGTAAACTGAAGCATTAAACGAAAAAAAAAATAAGACTCGAATATTTACTGGTGGTGGACCTCTTGTGAGTCCGCACGGGTAGGTACCACCACAAGTTTAAGCAATAAAAAAAAACATGAAATTAGAAATGTGTAAGAATTCAGTTTCTGGGTAGATACATATGTTACGTACGGTGCACGGGAGCTCGATGGCTGATGGCATAGATCCAGTGGAGAGCACTTGACACAATCATCCGCGTGGCTCCGGCACGAAATCACTTTTCAATCCACATTTATTCTTTATCTAATGTCACTCCATTACTGATGGTAAGATTAATTTTTAATCCTGTCTTATTTTACCACAGGCATCTGTTAAATTTATTTGCTAATTCTATATAAATTAAAGGTTGGTATATCATTTCGTGCAGCCGTTCGTTTCGGAAAATATAATTTTTCCAACGTTCGCAACAGCGACAGCTTCAATGTTGTACTTTGATGTGTTTATCAAGTACTAGCTGTACCCGTCCGCTTCGCTGGGCATTTAAAATTAACATCAATATTTCTCACCCCCACAAAAATTCTTATCATTAACACCCCCGCAACTGGTCTAGGGAGTCTAACACTCATATAAATATTAGGCTATCCATTAAGTACATGTATTTTCTACATGGATACAAAGTTTCAAGTCAATCGGATGTTTCAGTAGTTATAACGGTACATCCGTAAAAACCACTGTAGATTTATATATTAGTATAGACTAGTGGCCCGCAGTAGTCGAAATTCGACTATAATCAAAATTGAAATTGTAAGATTGTACACTATTATATTCTATTTTCAAAGACTATTTATACTTCTATAATCATAAATTTCGCTAAGACTACACTATAGAAAAATACAAACAATATTTAATTTAATCTCAATTTGACCACAGATACTTTATAGGTCTATGACCACAGACGCCTAGACGTCAAGAACAAAAGTTTGACAATAAATAAATAGTATGCATGTGTGTGTGCGTCATATACGTGGTAGTGTGTGTAATGTTTTTTTTATTGATTTAATATTTTTTAGGCATAATTAAAAAAAATATTAACATTCTGCACTCCTTCTCTATATTCTCTATAAGTGTGGGAAATTTCATACTCCTCCGTCCACGCAATTTTCGTAAAAAGGGATACAAAATTTTTGCTTCACGTATTAATATATAGATAACTGAAAACGAACCAAATGTCAGGTTAACTGACTTTCTCGTTTTGGACAGCGAGATTTTGTTTCGGTGGTCCGAATCGGGCACGTTGCCGTTATTAATAAACAAGTCACGTGTGTCAGCATTTCAGCTTGAAGTTTACGTCGCCTTCTGAAGCTCGGAGCGGTGCGGAAGTAATTCTGATTTGCACTAAACAGTACTGAGGGCCACGTGTATTGTAACATTTCGATTCGTTTCGCGTGGCAACTTTAAATTATTGAATGTTCAAGTATATTTCGATTTAAAAAGTGAAATCAGAAGACGTACGTTTGCCACGTACCATCCGGCTATGGAATGAGCTCCCCTCCACGGCGTTTCCCGAGCGCTATGACATGTCTTTCTTTAAAAGAGGCTTGTGAAGAGTATTAAGCGGTAGGCAGCGGCTTGGCTCTGCCCCTGGCATTTCTGAAGTCCATGGGCGACGGTAACCACTCACCATCAGGTGGGCAGTATGCTCGTCTGCCTACAAGGGCAATAAAAAAAAAAAGTAGCTCGTAATGAGGATTCCATTGAGCGGCTGGTGGTGAAAGGGAAAGTCGAGGGCTAAATATCTTCAACACGACGGACCGACCTCATAGAATCTGTGACTCATTCCAACATAAGTGATTGCTCTCACTCTGCGAAACATCGTGCCACGTGGCGTCGCGTTGCCAGAGCATCGGTATCGCAGGATTCGACTGATGCATGACCACGACCACTCTGTCAAGAGTGTACGACTAGGAAGACGAATAAAAAATTCAAGGTTTCTGATTTGTTATTATAAATAATGGTTATAGAAGTTCCGGTTTCTACGATTCATGTAACATGACATAGTCATGACTAAAAATTAACGGTCTATATTTGTTCTGCTAGAAAATTATTGCTTTGTGTTTCCCTCATCGAATACCTCCGCAATTCGATGATTTCGTTGCACATAATTTCAATAAATAACAAGTACATGAGTACAGTCTCACTTTCGTTGGCGGTAATTGTATATCATTAAAAATAAACGAGGTAAAGTTGTATCAAAGCTTCTATACCCTTGTATTTAAAATACTTTATTTCAATACATGGTAGAATGATAACCTCAGAGTTTAATCTATTTCTCTAGTTCGTATGAAAGCAGATTATCTTTCAATTGCTAGAAAAGAAAACAGTGAGACTCATACTGTGAGATTCATAAATAGTAATAGGAATGACGAACTCGTGATGTTAAAAGCTTGTCTTCAAAATGATTGCATTAATATTTGATCCGCCATTTTTGAAGTACCAGAATTTGGCAAACGATGCAATTAAAAAAAAAATTTTTCATGTCATACTATTACTAGTAACGAAGTAATTTTGGCGGTATTTGCGAACTAAATTTAGTATTCTAAATAATACATAAATCGGTTCTCATCACTAAGCACAACGACTCTATAATTTGCTCCTATTACGGACGTCTAAAAATATTGAATGCCTCATTTTCCGTAAGTTCATTCACCTTGCGAAATTTGTTGTTCGTAAACATTTCGAAATTCGAAGTGGATGGTTCTCGAATAAGTCATATTATGTTCATCACTTTTTAACAACGACTTTATAGCTAAAAATCTTTAATTATAATTCAACCAGAAGTATAAAGTAATATGTTATTCGAAGTTGGTTTTGTGAAATAAATTGATCAATAAATATATTTAATCGAGTGAAACAATTTGATTAGACTATAAAATGTATTTTTTTTATGTACGTGACATTAAAAACACCTGGTGAATTTACTAACCTATTTATTTGCAGATTTAAAATCTTGTACTGCATCTGTAATTTTCTTGCTTGCAGTTAAAAAGAAATATGTTATTTTTATGAATAAAGAAACTCAAGACTAAAAGATTTATGTAAATTTTATTTTTGTACTTACAATTATTTACATTTACATCTAAGGTAACTTTTTACTTAAGAAAATCAAACTAAAACGTGGATAATACCATCGATTATAATCATAAAGTCAACGATTAAACTTTTTTTTTCACTCACCCGGGACAAGCAAGGAATATTAGAAAAAAAAGTCTATTGATTTTCAATAATATCCACGTATTAATTTAATGTTTTACTCTCTATTTTTGACTATGGACACGAAAAGTGTCGTTTGAGGCGAGGCTCAAAAGATCTTTAGGCAGTGATTGTTGACAAGTCCACATTAAACGCAAAGGTTGAAATAAAAAAATAAATACACCTAAACTTACTTACAAGTCTTGAAATTTGCTGTTGAAAATATTTTCTATAATACAATCAAATGAGTATTTCACTTAAAAACTACACCATTTATACATAATCGAAATTATTATGTTTAGACACGTCATTAATGGTATGAATTACGTTTTTGGGAGAAATTGGTTGTTTTTGTTTTTTTTAATTTTCTCCTAAAAGCATTAGTTTATTTAACGTAATTTTCGTTGCGTACACAAACGTAAAAAAACATTGCAATAGTAGTCTAGCTATCGGAATATTTAGGTATGGTACATATTAAGCTGTAATTATGTAATCAGAAAGACAATTCATAATGTTTTAATTGTTATAGGTTTATAAGGACTAATAAATGCGACAAAAACTTCGCTTTTATTTCGTTATGTGATTTAAAACATGGTATGTTTTATATTTTTAAACTACTTGCACAAAATCGTGCTTCATAACAGAAAATAAAAGTTATTTTGGAGATTTGTGTCTAGAAAGTACGATCTTTTAAAATCAAACTGTGGTATTACTATACAACATGAAGTAAGAAATATTAAAATTGTATTTGCTTGTTAAATAAATTTGGCCCCAAATACTTCTTAGTATCACCAAATTGCTTATTTTTATTTATTCATATATTTGGATTGGTATTTTGAATACTAGTTAGTATACTTATCCGTAAATTATAATGATAATATCGGGAGTTAATTTCATGTCTAGATTCCCCCTTCCCTTTCCTACCGCTCGCTTCCCTCATGGTAGGAGCTGAATTCATTCATGGTTTTTCCCGAGGTTCATGAAATGTCAGACTTTTTTCAAACGAGGTTCGAAAATAATCTTGAACGGTAAACAGCGGTCGGTCATTTTATTTACAACTAGCTGACCCGGCAGACTTCATCGTGCCTCAACCGATAAATAAAAGACCTAAACTTTTGTATAAAATAAACTTAAAACTAACAAAAGGAATGCGTCCGACGGGGGACACATAAAAGGAAAAACAAAATTTCATTTTTATTTAATTCCGAGCATTTTCATATTTATCTACCTTTTAAGCCGTCTCTGGACTTTCACAAATAATTCAAGACCAAAATTAGCCAAATCGGTCCAGCCATTCTCGAGTTTTAGCGAGACTAACGAACAGCAATTCATTTATATATATATATATATAAGATTTGGGGAGCAATCTAATGTACTTATTCTGCCATTGAATCACGTATACTAGCTAGCTGTTATCTTTGATGTTACGAATTTACATAATATATTTAAATCGTTCATCAATCCGATCGGACTTCGCAAATGAAGTACGTTTCGAACGAACAAGGCGAATCGTTCCATTTGAGGCCTTTATCGTCTCTGTTCCACAGTTCCAAGCAGTTCTCTTCTTCGCCATTTTCGTATCTGAAGTTGTTCGGCTCTCCGGCGTTCCAATTGACAAAGGTAAGCGGCCTGCCGTTCGCCATCCAAAAGAAATTTCCTTCTTCAGCTAAATCAGTGCCCGATGTCCAGAAATGTTCGCGACCGTAACCTGAAAACGCAATGTGAATAATTAATTATCTTTTTTTCCTATTCTTATTCTTTTCTGTTGGACTGGAGTTGGATATTTTTACTTGTAGGTTAGTAACGTTTATAAAAATGTTCAAGAGCATCCTCTGCGTTAATGTAGGTTAGTAGTATAATTGTTTAATTGTGTATTGTGGATAAAATTATTTCCTTACATTATAATTTAAATTAGTTTTCGTTATCGTGTTGTTATGTCGTATAGTTGTAAGAAACATTGTGTACAAATTCAGCACTTTGTCTTGTTTAGTCGTGCGCACATGGCTTAAGCCGAATTTACATTACGAAATTAGTGGCATGAAACTAATTTCGTGACATTAGTTTTACCAACAGTTTCACGTGTAATTTAATACTTTCGTAATGCATGCATTAATTTCATGCATGTAAATTAGTTTCGTGCCCTGCGCGATTTTTTGGTGAAATTAGTGTCATGCAACTAATTTCATAGTGTAAACGCGACGTGAAACTAATGTCGCGAAAGGGCCTGCGCTGTGCGGATGTGTGTATTGTTAGTTCGGACGCGCTTCGAGCGTTGAAAATGGCAAACCAATGATGGAGTACAGAAAAAAATATAGATCTTATTAATGAATATCAATGACAAGGGTCCCGAAACACCTATAGTAAAAAATCAAAATTATCTTCACTCATTCGAAAATAGTTTTTATAACTCTCAGGATCTTCATCTGCTATTTCAGAGACTAACTTCATTGCACCTAAATGCCTTCTTGTTGACCATCCTCGAATCTACCAACTTTTTTTTTTCTTAATAGTCTTTTTTTAAGTTTATATGTATATAAGCATTTCTTTAACTACATTGAATATAGCAAATTATAGCTTTGATGTTGAAGGCGCCAGGGTTACTGCGATACTGTGGATTTCGCGACACTAATTTTTTAACGAAATTACTTTCGCATATATCGAAACTACTTTCATGAAACTGAGCTCAACATGCATGACACTAATTTCGTAATGTAAACTCGGCATAATGTTGCAAGCCAGATTTTGTTTCTTTTTACTTGTGTTTTTTATGTATTTTTTTAGCTTGTGATGTGTATTGTGTGCCTAATAAATGAATAATAAAAATAAAAAATCATTACCAATAAGCTACAAAACGTGAACACTGGTAAGCACGTTGATTTTACGTAAACTTGACTTCCAGGAAAACATAAAACATGGAGGTACTCAATTTGGAAACGGAAGCCAGATTGACTTTGAGTTCGTCCGAATAGTTATTTTGAATTGAAATCTTATTGACGCTGCACCATTAATATTTGAAACAAATTTTATAACAAATTTGATAAAACTGAAATAGTCCTGATCAAATTGACTTGTTCGCATACGACAACTGAAAAATTGTGGTAAAAAATGCACCTACAGAACGTGTAAAATTTCTGGAAAATATTATACCTGAGTCCTTAACGTATTGCTCCAGTTTATCGTTTTCCTGTTGCGATGATATCGAAGCGAGGTGCATCCCATGGAATCTGCAGTATTGCTGGGCTTTGAACCAATTAGCCTGAAATAAACCAGAAAGAAAATTATTTTTGTAATCAAAATATGCCTTTCCCAAAGTAATCGTTACAGAGTAAAGTTCATATCATTTCATGTGTGTTTTGTTCTTAGTTTGAACTAAAAAAAAACAATAAGATCACGTGGCGAAATGTTTTTTTTTTAATTTAAAATTTAAAGTCGCGTATAATATCATGTTTGGGATACTTTAAAGTATGTTCGTTATTAAAGTTATTAAAGCTTTACCAATAGAGAAACATAAGATTGGGAGACAAACATAAGAAGGATTGCCTTTATAAGTTCATTAAACTAAAATTACAATAAATTTATTTTGATTGTTATTACCTGATGGCTCATAGATCGTCAGCGAGTTGATTTTAAAAATAAAAATGAGCAATGTCATATTGCGTATCTTCATGTATATCTGTGAGTTACTATGAGCTGTATTCCGCTCTGTCAGTCTAACTACTAGGACAATGAGTGTTAAAATACATACATATATAATTTTGGTAAATCTCTTATATTTGTATAGTCTAAGAAGCTTTCAAGCTGTGTCGATAATAAGGATACTCAGTTGGAAACCTCGACGATTCAATGTTAATTTTCATGTCATTAGTAAATAAATTTTCTGTGTAATATAATTTACACAGTTTATTTGACCTTACGATAATGATGTCAATCATATAAAACGTATCGAAATATACATATAGGTGTATATACGAAAACAGACATTCATTTATACCAGTATAAATATTATACCTGTAAAGCAGTACCCTACAGTACTACATACATACGTAAATAATTTATAATGTGTTAAGAAAATTGTGGTGTGTGTTTAATTAGTTCGTTTTTTATTGCTTTAATGAGCCAGACCTTACGACTCACCTAGTATAAAGTGGTTACCAGAGCCTATGAATTTATTAAACTGGGTAATTTACTGGTGGTAGGACAACTTGCGAGTCCGCACGGGTAGGTACCACCACCCCGCCTATTTCTGCCGTGAAGCAGTAATGCGTTTCGGTTTGAAGGGTGGTGCAGCATTTGTAGGGGGGGGGGGCGGCCTGTACGTTGCAGATATCTATGGGCTCCGGTAGACTCTTAACATCAGGTGGAGTGTGAGTTTATCCATCTGCCTTAAGACATGAAGGCCAAATCTCTATTGAATACCGACTATCCCCCCCCCTTAAACTTAACGCATGTGTCCTTGTCGCAAATCAGTCATGCGTAAAGTCTGTTTTAATCAGATCGACCGGTAAACATGTAATAGGATCTATAAAACTGAATTTCATTATCAACCTTGGCGATTGCATGTCATAAAATGAGAAAACACAACAACTTGTCTCATCGGGCTGCTTCAGTGATTCATATTTGACGTCACTTCCTTTCACTCGATGACGAATTCCACGACATATCTGTTTTCCAATTTACACCAGAGCCTATATTAATGGTTTTGGTCGTAGCTAGCATAATAGGTAGTCGAGAAACTTGATTCAATTGGTGGCCATAAATATACGGGCTTGCAACTTCTTGCATTATGGCGACAATTTAAGACAGGAACAGCAAGCTTAGGAATTAGGAACGTACGTACGTAAGGTTACGTAAGGCAATAAGTTTTTGTTTTGGTTCAGGAGAGAGTAGCGAGATTTTAGACTACACTTTGAGGGCGGTAACCATATTGTAGTCAGACCGACTCACGCCCCCTATTGCTTGACGACTAGTAGTGCCTTAGTCGCATGAGATATGTTTTGCTACGTCAGGTATTTGACAGGAAAGAATTTTCAGGAGACTCAGAAACCAGAGGTCGTATATACCTAGTCAGGTCATAAGTATTGTCACACAGTAAAAACTTTTCTTTTAGAATGCTGGCCACAAAAAAGTTTATTGAATTCGAATTTCGAATTGTTCATGAAAATAAAAATAGTATACTTTTAGAATTTTACTCATTTTTAAATATGGAGTGGACGCTTAAAGAAGACCGTGTTGCAGTTATTGCGTTGCATCGTTGCGGTTACGCGCCAATTCAAATTTTTAACATACTGAAAATTTTTAATATAACCAAAAGATTCGTTTATCGTACCATCAAACGATACAATGAAGACTCTAGTGTAGATGACAGGTCNGAACACCCATATTAATTACTATATTTCACTTATTTCAAAATATACTAGAATATTTCAGTAATTTTGGACGGCACAAATCTTTTTCTTCTACCCACTGTGTCTCCGTTCTGATTTGTAGGGTAGGAAAAACATTGCTACAAATCAAATAATGACTTTAACTTCAACTCAAATGTGCGAGTGACTGGCAGAGTTCCACTGAACTTCTTCTCCGAAAGGATCCCCTCAACGAGTCGCGATTCCAATTCAGTGGTAGATTCAGCGAAGCACTGCTCTTGCTGGGGTAGATTTGGTGAGCTTGTTTAACGGTTAGGTGAAACCAGAATAGCCCCTCGAGGATATTTGTAATTAGGTAGGAAACAAAAAAAACAGGTGGCCATTGAGCTACTTTGTTTTAAATTCAGTCTCAGCAACAGAACCTTAGTATGGTTTCGTATTATTACTCCTTTTCCTCCTCCTTCAGCCGATCGCTCATTGCTAGGCATCGTGATGCTCCCGCCTGTGACTTTTTTTTGTAATTTTATGTCAGTCAGCTGCACAATGAAGTACGTGGCTCAATTACGTGTCCAGATGCTCGGACACTTGGTCACTCCATCTTTTTATTACTTTACAATATTTTTTTTACAACTTTTTATTATTATTATCTTATTATTAAAAGCATTCTTTTTTGTACAATGTTCTCATCCATGTAAATATCTTTTGCTTGCCTTCTTTTGCTTGATAACAACCAAATTTTGTGTTTCTTTGTTATGTTCTATATTATTCTATAATATGAATCTATAGTATGTGCCGCATAGAAGATCGTAAGACTACTCTCCTATGAGTATAATTCGAAGTAAGACAATGTCGCGGCCTCTGTGTAGAGTGAGTTACGTCGAAGCCGCATGAGTCACATTAAATTTATAGAAAGAGAGAGGTCGCAAGGTCGGGAATAATATAGAGATCTCATTTCGAAGGTCAAGATCCACTCTGTGTCACGAAGCCAGAAGAGAATGTAAAAGCACTGTGTGATTTTGCTAAAGACTGCTGCTGCCACTTTTTTTTTTTTTTTAATAAACAATATTGTTTTCTATGTGTTTTGCTCGTCGTAGTTAATTACATTTCCAATGTACCAACTAGTTAGTAGCTGTTACAGGCGACGTCGTTGATTGAAAAAAATCAATCTCATTATGGTCGTTTCTGGAACTCACGTAACAAGTACCTGGTTCTTATAACGCGGAAAACATCTTAGCAGTTTTACATGTACTATGTGTATTATGGTGTACGTTTGCGTATTTATGAGCGGCGGACGGCTAAGTTAGATTTGGGTGACTAGAAAGTTTTATCGTCAAATAATAAACAGAAGATGTAAATAACGTTACGTGATGTCTCAATAATTACAGCGGTAGTGCGAAAGAGACAGCAAGATCTACTAGAGCCATATCCGACTTGAGATATGTTATTTTGCAATAGATTTTGGTGGTTTTCATTTCTTTCTTTAAAATTATTTTGTGTGATATATATTTGTAAGTAGCCTCTGTGGTAATGTATTATTATCATGTGATTACAATGGATTGTGTGACCACCATGGTTGTTTGCTTAAACAGCGGTAGTCGTTGCCAAGCAACGTTTAATATTTCACATGCAAGACGCATACATAATTGTTTGGATAATCTCCTAATAAATTTACGAATAGGTACTCAAGCTGGTTGGCTTTAAACAGACATTCTTAAGGCATGAGTTAGCAGATTCTTTGTTAATGTGAAGCTTACTTTCCCTGTCACTAAAACAAGTTTGAATAAATGTTATTAATTTTTATGTACTTGACTTCACTGTTTATTGCTTAATTCGTAGAATAAATTACATAATTAAATAGTATGATTATTTTTAAAAAAACGTATTCATCAAAATTAAATATACCGAAAGTTGCAAAACTGCCATGAAAATCAGATAAATTGATCTTTGTCATTTGCAGATTAGTAATGTAATGTGCTGAGTCTCAAACCCGCGACAGCTGAGGGACCTCGCTTAGGTATCATACCAATTTTTTTTGATACAATGTTAAATGCGCGATTTTACAATGTTTTTTTTTTTAATGTTTTAAATGTTTTTATTGGATTTATGGATGGACGAGCTCACACCCTACTTCGTGTTAAGTGGTTACCGAAGACCATAGATAGACGACTACAACGTAGATGCCGCCACCCACTTTGAGATATGAGTTACAACGGCTGCCCCACCCTTTAAACCGAAACGCATTATCGCTTCACGACAGAAATAGGCAGAGCAGAAATAGAATTTTAAATGCACTAAATACGTACACGATCTGTTAGTCTACCCGGTATTAAGTTGTTATCAGAAGCCATAGACATCAACTACAACTACTAAATGCCGTCACCGATCTTAACACATCAGTCCTAAGTTTCAGATCTCGAGTATTGTACTTCGACTACTCCGCCCTTCAAATCGGAAAGTATAGCTGCTTTGCGTCTTAACCCTATCATGATTTCAAGATTCATTATAAATCGACCTCATTAAACGGGCAAAAAAGAAAACCACACAAATGTAAAAACCATCCGAACCTATCAGTTTCATAAGATATAATGAACAGTTTTGGATTACATTCCTTATCTCGGTTTTAAATTGTTATTAATTTCATAACGAAGCAACCGAATTAAACTCATTTCCAAATAATATAAAGTAAAATCGTTGGCTGCCTCTGTTTGTTTCTCCATTTCTTTTAAACCGCGCCTCGATTTTATCAAAATCAACATCGGTCACGAATAGAAAGATTTTCACAATCAAGGCAGATTACTTTATTTAATTTGTAGGTAAATATTTAGAACAAAATGGCCGAACTATGATGGCTGTAGGTACGTTCACATTACTAAAACTGGGTTCGTATTAAAATAAATTGTAGAAGCAGGCCAGCAAGGAAGCGCCAGGCGGAAAGCTAGTTACATATAATTGTTATTATGATTATGAGAAACACTGTGCCAGTTGCATTGTTAACAGACCGGTAAATTCATCTCCGTAAATTGAAGTGGATTAGGTAATGAACAAGAAAACCGAAAGTGCATAAACAGGGAGCGCATACGGTTTTTTTTATTTGGAATTTGTAGTATATTTGAATTTCATCGGTTAGTATTGTTGTGTGTGTAGAATTAAGTAAAACAAAAATTTGATTTCGGTAACTGCATTGAATGAATGCATAAAATTTTTGGTTTATATTTAGATCAGAGTGAGGAATTTTAAGCAGGTCTTGGAACATACAATAACAAAGCCAATACAAAGTGAATTCAGGGAATGAAGTCTTTAAAATTAACGAATTACGGTCCCAGGTCGTAGTGCAAGCTGACAAGGCTACGTCCGCCGTATCTATTTCTATCGCAAAAGATTTATGCGCTCTGTGTTTGTCATATCTTAAAACGAGGTTTGAAAAAAATCCTCAGCAGTAGGCAGCGGATTGTCTGCGCCGCCGATACCTATGAGCGATTGTAACTATGCTCCATCATCACATTCTTTCCGATCCGGTGGTAGATTCTGCGAAGCACTGCTCTTGTTAGGGCCAGTGCTAGCAACACTTGAGCCTACGTGTTAGGGCGAAGCGGAAATAGTCTCTCAAGGCGATCAGCATAGGTAGGAAAAAAATAATAATCCCATTCTTCGAAAGTTAGCACAACCTCTACTGGAATTTGGCTTCGACTTAAATTCTTAGACTTTACTTTATCTTGTCGATGAGACTGATGTTATCACTTATGTGTAACAGAACAGCAAGTCTGTTAACCGACTCAGTGTGGTTTTTTACTGATTTCGTTTGTTTCGTTCTTAAAGTGCAATTTTCCAGAAAAGAATAACATGTAATGCAATTTACTGGCGATCAAAATGTGTCTATTAAAATATTGCTGAACTCCAAATCTGTGTGGCTTATTATGTAAAATCGAATATATTCGTAAGCATAGATTTGTCTGCTAAGCTGTTGTTATGCAATAGGAAGCGCGTGCGTTTGCGTTGATTGTTAACATTGACGACGTATTGTGTCGCGGTCGCTCTCCGTTTTGTAACTGCATTGCGGTCGTAAAACGTAATAAGCGTGGCAGCAAATAAATTCTAAATTGACGAGTCGTACAATTATGAATACTATGCTATATATTATTATCTGATTTTTCGTAGCGGAAAAATAATTTATATTGCATCGTATTGTTTAATTATTATGGAGATAATACTACTTTTAAGCACGCTTTTTTATTGTCCTTATATTATTTCCAAAGTTTCCAATAACTTACAGTTTTTGTAGTCAGGGATGACTAAAGGTAAGGAATAATTTAATCATAATAAATAACGCGAAATAAAACCTCAAAAGTAGTTTTGATTCTACTGATTGATGCGTCTCGAGAAACCGATGAAATTAGTCGTACTATAATTATGAAAGTTCCATATCAATAAATAGTTATATAGCTGCTTTGATTGAAAATATTTTATAATAGAATCACCTACTTATTTTAAAACATGATTCAGAATAAGCTTATTTGTGAACGAGAAAAAAAATATAGTAATTTCAATTCATATACATATTTATCTAAAAATAGTGATAACAAAATCTTGTTTTCTGTAGAAAGAATTTCTTGATTGTCTTTCTTCAATCGACGTCAATAGTTAGTTTCGCTTGAAAAAAAAATTGATACTAATTTAATATGAACGTCGTTCGTCACACAACTGGTCGTAGAGAAAGTTCTCTCCGGGACTCCACGAGATTGGCTCTTAGTTCTAAATTAGTACAATTGTCTATTTGTGCGGAAGTAAAGGGAGGTTTTCACTTGTTAATTGATCAGTAAAATAATCTATTTTCGGTTTAAGGAATTCCGCAGCGTTTTTTTTACCGTTGAGAAAGTTTAGGGTCTATGAACATGCACCCTAAATAGAACATTTATAAAAAGTATAAACGAATCGGATACCTGATCGCATCCCTGACAGGGAAACCTAATCATAAAAACTAATGATTACGTACAAATATCATATGTTTGTCCAATATGTGGGTAGTACACTGGAATGAATAAAATGTTATGCGTATAAGATTATAATCTGGTTTTTGTCTACGTGTATCAGCTTTATTTGTGATTTGTGAATGCTACAAACAAGGCAAGATGCGTCCATTTATTTAATCAGTCTTTTAGCAGAATTTGCAATGCGTGCGTTGAAATGGCAACTATGTATTAATTAAAATTCACGTGTTAAGCAATAACCTGTCCGTTGTAATAACGAGACGTAAATTAGCATTTTAGTCAAATTTCTATTCGATGTATCTGTTGTGTTGTCATAAAATCTGCGAAGTTCCAATGACTAGTCTGTTATGGGAGTGGTTTTTTTTTTGGTAAAAATTCTTGACATCAAATTTCAGTGTGTGAATTTTATCATAAAATTTTGTAGCATTATGCAGTATTATTCGTAGTATAACCTAAAAATAAATACCACATGAGTCAAATCTTTCGTGTCTATATGAAAAATGAAAACAATTAGTTTACTGATTATATGTAATTACACTAATCACTTATTTAAAATTTCATTTCATTTTTATTACATTGAAATGTCGTCATCGAACTTGAGACTTGAGTTCTAAGCCTCAATTTTATAGTACATGAGCTGTCCCGTCTTTCAAGTCGAAACGCATTACTGTTTCACGGCCGAAATAGGCAATGGTGGTACCAAGCCGTACGGGCTGACTACATGCTCTGCCACCAGTAAATTTTATTTTTAGATCTCTTACAGTATCATGCAGTATATCCTGTATTATGTCTCTTGTATTTAATACGATGAAGACTGCAGAAATGTTTGGAATGATTTTACGAAAGTGACTCTTGGTCAGTCTTTGAACGTCCAATTTTGTCTTCAATTACATTGAATTATTTTTAACAGAAACTGATCGGGATGAATGTTAACAAAAAAACATACAATTATTATTGTTATTAAGTACACCGTAGATTTCTATTTGAGAGAATTGTTTCTTATTCACAATCAAAGCTCACAACAGCTTTATATGATCGGACCGTGCTTTTGATTTAATAATTACTTGCCGCAATGGCGAAGAAAGTGAAGCTTGTTTAATAAGAAACACAATAAGTACTAGTCAGGTGGCCGGAGAGAAAGCTATGTGTATCTATCATCACACCTGTGTTGTACGGTCTGCAGTTAAAATGTTTCATATAATGAGATGTTATAGTTATTCTTTCTCGAAGCTCCAACTCATTTTGTTTTTGTTTGTCAATAAAAAAAAATGTGTTTTAATACATTTATGGTTAATGGAAATTGAGTTTTTTTAAGTGACTCTTGCACTTTAAACATGCCTACTCTATAAAAATACTGATTAGGAATGAGAAACGAAATCGAGAATCGGACCAGCAATCCAAATTTATTTTGCTACCTATACTTTAATAAGCCTTATCAATAGGTTACAAGGTATATTCTGCCATTGAGTTGAGTGAGCGAGATGGCAGCGTTAGATTACTTACTTAGATTAATGATATATTTGTTATTCGCGTGAAAAGAAATGAATACTTTATTCACTGCCGTAGTCTAATTGGTAATTAATAACTGGAGTTATAAAAAAAATGGAAGTGGCCTATTTTGAAATGTATTATCTGTGTCAGTTATAAAGATTTTTTAATTGACGTTAAATGGGTATAAAACCCCACAAAAAACAAAAAAAACACGGCTCACCTAAGACCTCATTAGTCTCGATTTTGCCTTATAGGTAGGAATGTTTTTGTCAACGCTACCTATTTTAAATGTATATATGATTGAGAGCCTATATATACACATATAAATGAATTTCGGCGTTTATGCAATCGTCTCGTGTAGATTTCTATTTAACTAACATCAACTTATAATTACAAAGACATATTGTTTATTTAATTCATAAACGGAGTTTTTTTTTCTTAGAGCATTGGTACTTTTGGGCAATCAATGCGGCAATGTTTTTTTTTGTAACACTAGTCTAGTTTCTATTTTACATGTGAATTAAGGGAAAAACACAGTGCAAGTACACTGCATACATTTCCTCTTGCTTTCGGCATTTTAATCTGTATAATCAATAACGTAAAATATGTCGTATTCGAAATTTAAACATACCTTGAAGAATATTCCTAAATAATATCGTTTTTCCCCGCTTTTTAGCAAAGGCATTGTCCATCGTGTAATGCCAAGTTCGTCGTCACCACACGTTGAGCATTCTGAAACAAACAAAAATATTGAAACGTTAGATTATATTTTCATTAACAACCTTTCAGTACTGCTGTAGGTAGACGAACGAGCTTACAGATCTCCTGACATTTAGTGGATGCTAGAGCTGTCAAACATTATAACATGGATTCCGCTGCCAAATAAGGTCGAATTTTTGCAGGGATAGCCAAGAGTTTGCAATCGTGCGAGCACATCATACTTCCAGTAAAATCTATGACTACTATGAATTTTTGTGTCAGATCAGTTTTAATGACATTAACTGCTCTTTATCGATGTTTTGAGCGTTGGGCATTGCTACTTATTTCGGTTTTTAAGATTTTTTTTGTTCAATTTCTACTTATAAATTAAATATCGTTTTGGTAAACAAACATGAAGAGTTTATTTATTAATATTCGGCTCGAAGGGCCAAATTTTAATAAAATATTTTTTTATATTGCATAACACAATCTACTGAATATAACAGTATTATCATAATAGTATGTAACAGTGTTATTAAATTGTTTTCAATTCATTTCGCAATTAGGTTTAGATCTATTTCTGTGTAGTAGCAATCATTTTAGTTAAATGCTTTGAACTAGGAAAAAAACTGCAATTTTATTCGACATTAATACAAATCAATATTCTAAAAAAATATATTAAAATATATAATTTAGCGAAGAACGTATGTACATTGAATGCAGAGACCGGTTTTTGGCGCGTACGACGTTGATTTTCTTCATCGTTTTTACATATATTTTACATAACGCAGATATATCTGACAAGGCCGATTGGCATAATCTTGCAGTCTTGTTCAGAAAAGGGGGTACGGTGTTAAGAAATCTGATGTTCTGTTGAAATTTTATAGCTCAATAATACTATGTTGATAAATAGCTTCCATTGTAATATTGTATCTCTTTTTTTTTTTTTTTTAGACTTTAGATGGGTGGTTGAGCTCACAGCCCACCTGATGTTAAGTGGTTACTGGAGCCCATAGACATCTATAACGTAAATGCCACCCACCTTGAGATATAAGTTCTAAGGTCTCAGTATAGTTACAACGGCTGCCCCACCCTTCAAACCGAAACGGATTAATGCTTAACGGCAGAAATAGGCGGGGTGGTGGTACCTACCCGCGCGGACTCACAAGAGGTCCCACCACCAGTAATTACGTAAATTTTGTTATTTGTGAATTTCAGTTTTATTATACAATACTTCTTCACAATGGAAGCCATTCGTTAACATTCGATAACTGCGTATTACATTAAAAAACGCACGAGTGAATACCACCACCTTAGCCATTTCTGCAGTGAAGCAGCAATGCGTTTCAATTTGAAGGGTGGGGCTTAGCCATTGAATTGTAAAGCGAGACTTAGAGCTTATGTCTCAATTTGGGTGGCAGCATTTAATCCGGTATTCATTTAAAACCAGATGGTTTGTGAGTTCATGCACCCATTTAGGCAATTAAAAAAAACGAACCAGGAGGAAAACTTATTCCACAACTTACGATAAGCCGTCTCCAGCCTGTATGTAGCTTCCGTGTGCAATCATTAATCATTATTACCCTAACGCCTTCTAGTAAGCGTGCAGGCATGAAATAGGTACAAATATAACCGATTCATTGAACGTGCTGAGGTCAGCGCCCTTAACACTACAGCGCCCGTGAGCCTCGCTTACCCTGCACCATGGGTAAAGCCGCTTCTGATCTACGTTATGCTATGCTACTAGTTAAAGACGTCCTTCTAATCGTCTGCATATATTGGAATTTCAATGTAATTATATTTTATTACTGATAACATTAAACTATAGATAGCCGTCTAAAGAATGGACTAAACGCGGTGCGGGTACGATAGGTTTGTAATAGATTATACATATTATAGTCTACACGGGTTAAGTATGGTACTTGACAGTACGAAATTAAATTATTATGATGTAATTGGTGGTAGGACCTCTTGTGAGTCCGCACGGGTAGGTACCACCACTCCGCCTATTTCTGCCGTGAAGCAGTAATGCGTTTCGGTTTGAAGGGTGGGGCAGCCGTTGTAACTATACTGAGACCTTAGAACTTATATCTCAAGGTGGGTGGCGCATTTACATTGTAGATGTCTATGGGCTCCAGTGACCACTTAACACCAGGTGGGCTGTGAGCTCGTCCACCCATCTAAGCAATAAAAAAAATATATAATAATAATTTTTTTTCGTAATTAAAAAATTACATGAAAACAAAAGTAGCGTCTAAGTGAGCGAATCGTGTAGTAATTTCACTTTTTATTGTAGATTCATTTAGAGTGTTGTGTAATAAAAAAAATATAGTATAGCGGTAGGCCAACCGTAATAAATAATGATGGAGTATCTCACGCACGCACGTCTCAAAATGCTTGCATCCTGGTATAAAGTGATTGCAATTAATTTAATTTTCGACTAAAAGGCGACAGGAAATTATACCACCACAAAAGGGTACAGCAATAAAAACATCAGTTGAGAAAATAATTTAATTGAAATATATATTTGGGGACAAATAATTTTGGATGAATTATATTAACGTCAAGTTAAGAGACTGCTGTGGCTCTGGCCTCGACCTACGGTTACTACCACCTCGCCCATCCTTAGCCCGTGCTTAATTTTTGTTCTTAATTCTTGACCCAATAACATAAGATATTGATTCTAGGGTATGTTATAAGTCAACATAACCTACCATCAGATCACGTATAATTAAATTAGGAAATTGTAATCCCTGGGGTATAATGTGTATACTATCTTCTGATTCAAATTCTGAATGTTGAACTATTATTAAGTATAAAACTTTTTCAATTCAAGTTTGATTGTCATCAGTCGTAAATTTACTTGTACGCTTTTTAACTGAATAAATAAATTCGTTATTCTTGACTTTAGATTCTAAGGAAAACGTATAAAAGAGAAGCAGTAAAAGCCATGCGTTTGTTCATACATATACATACATAAATGTATATTGTGTAGTTATATTTTAAAACACAATTCACTGAATAGGTACTTCGACTTTCGACTCGTAACATTTGTTTGCAAGTCCCTAAGTTTAAAACTAAAACTTATTAAATCAATATCGATTCAATTTTGTTCCTATTTTACGAACAAATAGATATACATACATTTGGACATTACTGATTTGAGAATCCTGCCTCCTTGCATTCTTGTATTATTACGGCATAGATGGGTTAACGACTTTATGGTGTGCTTGATGTTAAGCCGTTAATACTGCCGTCTACCATCAGACACGAGTTCTATGCACCGCATAGTATGATTGCTTCAGGGCTGAAATACTCATTAAACCTTATGATAAGCTTTACCTACCCGGGAAAATCATTAATAAAACCAAAAATCTATATCCTACAGGGAATTTTAGCCATTAAGGTTTTGCACTACAACATCGCTTTTAATTATTGTGTATACCAAAAAGGGTGTTTGGGCCGAAACCCTTTTAATACCTACGTGTTTGACATGTTCAAGTTATACGAGGCGAAAAAACGACCATTTGTCCCGGATGAATTTGTTATGAGTGCGGAGGTTAAACAGCGGCTCGTATACATCCATCATTTTATGATTGGCCAAACATTGACCAACAAAGTTCACATCGGATAAAGGTCAATGGAATAACGTATTTTAAATGACGATATTACAAAATAATTGCGAGCTACAATTGCGAAGAATAATAAACGGTCACATGCAACTTATAAGGTTGTCTATTGATTTGTAAGCGACTTCAAAAAAAAAGGAGCATTTTCTCAAAACCGAGCTTGCCTACTTATATATGTCACGTTAGTAGATATGTATGTAGTTGAAAGTAATAACATTAGGAAATTGGCATTTGAAAAGTGTTAATAGCTTAAAACGAACTGTAGTGACAGTTGCATTATTTTGCATTATTTGTTGCAATGTCGCAATTTTTATAAAAAAATTCATTCATTTTTTTATTTACTTATGATTTAATATTTTTTTATTGCTTAGATGGGTGGACGAACTCAACAGCCCACCTGGTGTTATGTGGTAACTGAAGCCCATAGACATCTACAACATAAATGCGCCACCCACCTTGAGATATAAGTTCTAAGGTCTCAAGTATAGTTAGAACGGTTGCCCCCCCCCTTCAAGCCGAAACGCATTACTGCTTCACGGCAGAAATAGGCAGGGCGGTGGTACCTACCCGCGCGGACTCACAAGAGGTCCTACCGCCACCCACCTAATACTAGAATTCCCATGAAATCGATTCACAGTACAGACGTGCGGCCTCGATGAGATAATATTTGACCTAAGAAGTATTAGAAATTCTCGTCACGCGATCAGGTGCATTTTGGATTCGTCGCTCATTCACGAATTCCATCACGCCTGGGGAGGAAAAACAATGGAAAGAGCTGGTATTTTATCGCGTAACCATGGAAATATTGACAACACTTTATTGACGTCAGTTTTGATATGAATATGTCTAGATTTATGTGCTTGTTGATGAGCATAAAGATTTTGCCTTGAATTATTAAAACTGAACTCTTTAAAATCTTTCAGAACTGAAATGTGAAGATTTGAAGAATTTAGTACTTAGTTTGTGAAAATATAACTTTCTTCAAAAATGTACATATATGTTTAATGATAGCTTGTTTTCAACAGCAAAAAGCATACCTTTTTACTGCCACTGTTTTTTACTACCAAAAACTGAGAAGCGAACAACCCATCAGATCGTAAATGATTACAAGGCAGGGAAATTAAATACAAATTGATTTAAACTTGTGGTAGGGCGTGCTCTGAGCTCCCACGGGTAAGTACCGTGTAAGTACTCCCACCAACCTGCCTATTTCTGTCGTGAAGCAGTAATGCGTTCCGGTTTGAAGGGTATGGCAGCAGTTGTACTAAAATTGAGATTTAGAAATCATGTCTCAAGTTGGATGGCGGTATTTGGGGTGGTAATGTCTATGGGCTCTGATAACCACTTAGCAGCAGGTGGGCCGTGAGCTCGTCAAATCAACTAAGCAATAAAAAATAAACACTATGTTAAGACAAAGAATATGGCTCGGTTGTAAACTAGTGAAGTAGAAATGGAAGCTTTACAGATTATACATGAGTATTATATAGAATTTTTTTGTTTCAGTGAATGCATAGGAATTTATATTCAGACTCGCAGAAATTATGAATATTTAGGTTCATGATTGTATAGGTAGGTTGTATTAGTGGTAAGAGAGTGTTAATTACGAATGTGTAGAAGGATATAGAGGAAGAGGTAGACCTAAGAAGAAATGGATGGATTGCGTGAAAGACGATATGTGTAAGAGGGGAGTGAGCGAAGAAATGGTATATGATAGAGGAGTATGGAAGGAGAAAACATGTTGCGCCGATCTCAGATGACTGGGAGAAGGGCAGGAGAATGATGAAGTGGATGACTGTATACAATATACCTGTTTTTCCGATTGCAGGTGGCTGGTTGTAGCTGGCGACCGTCTTCGTTTCACCCACCCAACACATCAGTAGAACACTAACGAATAGTATACTATTTTGCAACATTTTAAACTTTTTTATTTATGCTAAAAAAAAGATTTTTTTCTTGTTGTTGACAAGGGTCGTTGTAATGAGGTGACTTTTTCAATTTACATATGCAAGCTGTTTTATCGATCACCGATACTTCAAAGTATATTAAGTATAATGTGTTAATAAGGCAAAGTTTTCTTAATATTTTATGATTGAAGGTTAACTGGTGGCCCGGAGGCCTTTCCAGTTTCACCAGGACAGGTGGACGAGCAAAGGCTCAGCCAGGAGGGGAAGGAGAAGTTCTTTGAGAAACTCATCTATGATTGTCTGATTGTCTGCGCGAACTACTCAGTCATAGATAATACACATAAACTAGTTATAATCAGTTGCGAGTTCCTAGTTACGCTGTCATTGTATGGAATATATGGCACATCCTAACATAATACACTATGCGGACTTGTGAATTAATGAATATGAGCATCTAATAAAATATTATATTTTATAATCCGAAGTAAAAAACCAATAAAATTAATGAAAGCATATAAATAATCTTTTTTTTTTTCTTAATCATAACTCGTGCGTTGAAGTTCCATTATAAGCTGTGGTCTTACAATATTCTAATATTCTTATCGTGCCGTCAACCGGCAAGGATGTAAAGGGTTAAGCAGTGCCTTTATATTTAATATTCATATTAATTCGTATTATGTTTTACTTTGCACACACACGCATAAAAATAAATAATTATTGACGTTTCATAAATTATAATGAATCTTCGTGAGACAATTTTAAGGTTCAAGTTAGGTTATTTGTACGAACAGACCGTAGACTCCAAGAGCCACTTATTCTACTTCTCCAATATCCGTCGGCTGGCCGTGTCTTATAAACCGAGCATAGCAGCTAATCTAAATGAGAAAAAATATGGAAATAATAAATTTCGATACCCAATAATATATTGCTAAGCAATATTGGCACAAGCAAGAGTCGGTCTCATAAATGTGAGATTATGTCACTTTATTACTTCGGGAGGTGATACGCAACTGGGGTGAATTAAGCCAATGTTTATTTTCGAATCCGATACTGATCTTATAGGAATTTTCTGAGCTGAGATATTTTGAAGTTTTGGAAACGTTTTTTTTTTTTTTATGATTGAAAGATTACTGGTGGCCCGGAGGCCTTTCCAGTTTCACCAGGACACGTGGGCGAGCAAAGGCTCAGCCAGGAGGGGTGGGATTTGCTATCAGCTACCCGAGCGCCTCCGAAGGAGACCTAACAGCTCAAGAGTAGCTGCTTCGCGAATGAATCTACTACCGGATCGGAATCGCGACCCGCTGAGAAGATCCGGCGAGAAACTCAGCGAGCTGATTCATGGGTTAGGTTGCACGGCGAACTCTTTGTCGAGTTCGACGAGTACGGTTACCGAGGTCCCTAAGCCTGCTCCTAGTGTTAGAGCTGAAGGCGTCTAATGCAAAGGTTATTGGATCTGATGGATCCGTAAGGACGTGTCTAGGGCGTCGACGGTGACTGGCTCCTGCGTGATCAGGATTCGGGGAGTAGTCAGCGGCGGCTACGATAAGGCGATTATCATGACGCATAGCCTTATCGAAGTACCGTTCCGACACTGACTTCATGTATTTCTGGATAGATTCGAGGCCCAGGTCATCGTGTAGGTCAACGTTCCTCACGAACCACGGAGCTCCGACGGCTAACCTGCAAAAGCGGGATTGTAAAGATTGGAGGGTGTCTATGTGTGTGCGGGCCGCGTGAGCGAACACCACACTCGCCGGGCCTAATGCAAGTTTTGTAAAGTGTCACCTTGTTCCGAAGGGACATTTTACTCCGCTTACAGATCATGGGGGAGAGTCTACCGAGAATAAACGCGGCACGGTCACGGACTGAGTTTGGAAACGTATTTGATTAAGAAAAGTATGTAGTATGATGCAGATGAATAAACAATCTTAATATTTTTTTATTACTGTTCTCTGCTGATTTCGCGATAATTAAAACTACTTTTACTGACCGTCGTTCGTGAACACAAAAACTGTAAAGTATTCGCAACGACGGAGACAATAATACGAGTATAATGACAATAAAAAATCTGGTATTTACCCAGCGTTGTACAAAATATCATATTTAATACGCGTTTTTTTGAAGTGAAAACTTCTTTAGAATCGTTGTGATTTCAAACCGGATGCAACGGAAAAAACGACAGGTAAGAGACACAAATACAAAAATGTGTAGAATGAAGCCAGCAAAGAATGAGACAGAAATATACATACTATTTATTTAATACAGCGCCATCTGTGAGATTTTTTTAATACTAACGTGTGTATGACAGCTTTTGTAGTGAATTTTAATTTAGGATTATACGTGAAATTAAAATATCAATTCACAGAGGGCGCTACCTTACAATTATTTACTAATGACAAAATTTTACATATACTTAAGACGTTTAGGATAATTGTATTTTAATTTTGGAAGGTTTCACTTCTACCACGTGTGAATTGCACACATGTAATTTTACTTTTTTTACCTGTGAATACGCAGGGGAAGTCTCTAATACGATGGACCGATTAAATCAGGACTACAGTGGGAAGTAGGTCCTTTAAATGAGTGCAGCAAAACGGTCTTGAGCAATGCGATGGCCGGGCATCGTGGGACGCGTCAAATATAACTACACCACCCAGATAAAGATCACGATCACTCCGTCAAGAGTGGTGGGACAATTAAGAAAACGCATATTTATAATTTTTACGGCTCCCCGGGCTAAGGAATACGTCTAGGTCGGGAGTCAGGCTTCTTACAAGCTACTCCACGAAAAGTTCTCAGTAATGTTCTTTAAACATCCGCTTTGATCACACTAAGTACATTATAATTCAATTGTACAAACATGACTAGTATTTTAATGAGTGTAATGACACAGCCTTCATACACGTAACACACACTCATTTCACGGCCTGATTAATTCAGCTACTATAATGCAATTTAATTAATTATAAGTTTCCTATTATGTGTAAGGACACACGGAATTTTTCATTCATTAAATTCCGTAAGTAGTTTTATCACTTCCCCGTTTTATTCTTCTATTAATTATATATTAATTGAAACTAGTGCTCATTGTTGTCGTATTGAGAAAGTTGATTTGTTCAAAAAACGAATAAAATTGGATTCATCTGATAAACGATCTACGTTTTCAAAACGTGGCTCTGGATATTTTTTTTTGGAGCTACGCACAGTAGTTGAGTGTGCTCCTAAGTTGTTATGTTTGACGATGGTTTTATACATTATCAAGACGCTTTTATGTTTTAGATTAGGTACCGTTTCAGACGAAATAAAATGCGGCGCATGCACTATGATATTACATTTCGTACAAACTTCTAAATGCTCATATCTTCTTTTAACACTGCCGTTAGAAAGAAATATGCCAAAAAGTCCGGACAAATATGCACAAAACAAAACGAATGAATTATACAATATCCAGGGAGTTTATCTTTTATTTTACATTAGAATACTGGAGAAACTCTTCATATCCTATAATCGACAACTACTGCAAATCGATTTGATCATAAAAATATATTTGATCGTATTGAAATAATTTAAATACCTAAACAGCTCTATATGTTGTTTTGGATAATATTATGTAAATGATCCTTCAAGTGTCCTCTACGTTTTAAATCGTTGTCGTAATCAGAAACTAGATAGACCACATTGTTTGACAATTCGGGGACTGGAAATTTCGCAGAACAATTTATAACGATCCTTCAAGGTAAAAATAGTATTTTTATGCACTGGTAGCGTGAAATAAATGCGATTGTACCCAACAATCGCAACATTACAGATGAAGTCGGAGCTCCATGATTTGTTATGCAACAGTTAAACAGGATCATTTTTATTGAAATACTCTTTCCAAAAATAATTAGCAGAAATGAGACAAAAAAAAAACAACGAAAAAACTAGAAATTTAATGAAATATTTTTATAAATAGTATTTTCAACTTTACGCCGATGTTTATAAGAATTATATTGTTGTATTGGCCTAATAAAGTCAGCAATGTCTTACGTTTTAGATAGAGACGTTAAAAATGTTAGGTTAGGTTCTGTCGCCATTTTTAAAATACCAGCACTACCACGTGGGCGATCTGGCAGGTCTCTTACCGTGTTGACAAAGCCTTTGCAACGTAAGCTCCATCGAGTAGACGTCTAGGGACCCGCTACGAATTTTTTGGGTCATAGTGGTCCCTTTTGCCCATTCTATGCATGTGTCCCTCGGCTTAAGATCTTATAGGAATTTACAAGCCCAGTTCAAAAATAAATCGGACCACATTACATAGCACCCCGCTCGTTATTTCTCTACGACGAAGACTATTTATTGTTTTGGGTTTTAAAAAATGCAATTATAAATCAACATGATTTTGTTTCCTTGATCACTCAAATCACATTTCTCTTCTGTGTACGTCCTATCCTTATGTCACGCCAAGAACTAAAGCTGTAATATACATACATAGACCAAAGGTACGACTCAGATATTTTATATTCGGAAGTAGGTTTCCGCGACAGATTGCAATATTCTACAGATTGCAATACTGGTGGTAGGACCTTTTGTGAGTCCGCACGGGTAGGTACCACCACCCTGCCTATTTCAGCCGTGAAGCAGTAATGCGTTTCGGTTTCAAGGGTGGGGCAGCCGTTGTTACTATACTGAAACCTTAGAACTATATCTCAAGGTGTGTGGCGCATTTACGTCGTAGATGTCTATGGGCTCCAGTAACCACTTAACACCAGGTGGGCTGTGAGCTCGTCCACACATCTAAGCAATAAAAAAAATAAAAAAAAAACTTTCATCATAGCGTCATTCATGACACATCTCGTGTACTGTATAGTATCGGGGGGATTTTAGTCTACGTCTTGTGAAGTAGCAGCTTTATTGTTTGGATATGTCACCATTGGACTTTATGTGAATGTGGATGGATCAGCAATCCTTATCAGCAATCAGATTTAAGCAAGTTTCTAGCAAGCACCAGTGCGTTCTAATGGCAGTTTTTTTTGCGTATCATTTAGCTTTGTTATAATATATTTTCTACTGTTACCGCTTAACCTTTGACCTTGATTTAAGGATTATTTCAGGGGCTTAATGACATCGCCGCAAAATTATAGAAAGATGCAGAGTCGTAATATAAAAAAAAAAAGTTGCTATAAAGCTGATATTAAAACGACATTGTCATCTTTGTCATAGTAAACATGTTAAAAATAACTCAGTTCTGTAGTTCGGGTAGTAGGTGTAGCAATGACTTGTGAAACATAATTATGTATGTCTGTTGAATTGACAATGTTGTAACATCCGCGTGTTGGTGTTAAGGCAGATGTGTCCTTATGGATACCGTAATAGATGTGAACGCATCATTTTTGGTGACGTAGTGAAATTCAATTGAATTACTCCATTTGTGGTTCTGTTTCTGTTAGCACTGGCATTTCACTTGGTATTTTTGCAAACATTCGTCTTATTTGATTGAAACAAAATAAATTTTGCGCGAACAGAGCTTTTTTCGTTGATACCAATATCACCGGATGCAAACAGGATTTGGTAAGCTTAAGTTGTTGCCAACCGGTCATTTATACTACGTGATTAATTATGAAATCTGAATTTGAATCAAAATACGGAATTCGAGTTCATGACAGTTCATGTAAATAATTTATCACGCATGAGTATCACAGTATATGAGCTATATCGGAATTTATTATATGGTTTATATTCTTCCCAAAGGTCAATCATGTCAACCGGTTGAAACTTTAGGCATTATATTGTTACGCACATATACGGACATAACTAATAGGTATCATTAAAGTTAGGAAAGATAAATTAATGAATCGTTTGGATAGCAACAGCAAGGGAGAATTTTAAGAGTTACTTAACATCGCGAGTGAGAGAAAAACACTTTTTACGAGCCTCTCTGTCATAAATGCATAATACGAATTTAAATGTATTGAGAAAAACAAAAGCGAAGCTTTATGTTCCTATAAGCGCACTGTCAATAATATTTTTATGATTCCGAAGAGATATGATTGACGTCTGTCAAATTTACATTAGTTTAATTTTTTTTTTAGAAAATGTGAAGGTACCCAAACAGCCAATACTTTTTTTAAAATACATGATGCTTTGCTCTAATAGTTACTACTAACATTCAAATGTATACTTTTACATTTTAAATATTGACATTATCGAAGGTACTGAAAACATAAATGTCATGGTCGAACTTGAAATAAATCATGCAAGTACAAAACGACTTTTATCATACGAGGTCTATTTTCACCGATCGTGTATGCTAATTAACCGGTTACTTTTTCTTTTTCATTCAGAATGGGACTGTTGTAATAAAAGAATAAAAAATATAATAGTAAGAAAACGGATGTAAAAGCCACCTTTTTGGTTTCGTGTGGCAATAAATGTGAGTATTATTTCTTAATGCATTCCTTGTTTTGACATTCGAAAGGAGAATCATCGATGCACAGAATAAAAATAATTGTAGCCTTTATTTATCGTGATAGAACCTTCATACACACCAATACGATACTTTTATAAATTATCGTATTTAATCAAAACCTCATTCGATTTTTAAATTACGATTATACTAATATAAAAATTGTTTTTATATAAGTAATTCAGAAAACAGGTTTACTTCTCCTTCAAAGAAAACTTGTTTGAAGATTAAGGTGTATCTTATTAGTATAAGAATAAAGGTTAAATACCCCAACAATTTAATCATTTCATGACACAAAGTTTGCTATTTATTTTTATGTTAGCATGTTCAAACTTTATAGAGTATTACATATATATGCGAAAGTTAATATGTTTGTTTGGTATCTTTTCATGTCTTAACCACTTAACTGATCAGCATGAAAAGGTCACTGTCGGGGGTGCAGAAAAGAAAATATGATATTTCATCCAGAAAATAATAATATTCTTGATGGAGCATTTTTCTCTACATATATCTCTACATATCTTAACTCAAATATAGCCGTAAATTCAACGCGCATTTGGTGTTCGATTGAAAATTGGGTTTTTGTTTTCTAACAACAAAGTTACTTATTTTAGACCATTATCTATTTTTTTATGTTTATTGACTGACGTTTCAGATTCACGGCCATTTTATATATAGACTAGATCGAGATTTATTACATTCGGTCCGTCGGATGTCTCATCCGGTTCAATTTCACAGGATATTAAGTTTCCATGTCTGCGACTCCGGTACCTGCGGGCAACGCGAGGCACACTCAACCAGAAATGTTGCCAGGTCATATTACATTATTTTCGATGGATTTAAATTCGTTACTCAGTATGGCCAATATAGAAAAAATCAGTTCCAATCTGATTTTATCATCGATTCTTTTTAATACTCGGAATAAGAATTGTATTAACCTTTAAATTAAAAAATTACTAATAAAACTGTAGTTTTAAAAAAGGCAAACCATATGGAATGCGGAGTTTACGTAAAAATAAAAATAAATGCAAGGCTATTTATTATTTTATTAAAAGTCCTGAGCCAGAAGTACTTTTTAAAATAAATTTGATTGAAAGCATATTTCGCGCTTATTTGGGAAAGTTTTACAGTGGGACTATAAGTATTATGTATTATACCTAATATGTATTTTATTTATAACCAGTCTGTGAATACATAGTAAATATAAAGCGTAGAAAGTGAAAAGAAACGATGTTATTTTTATAAAAGCACTAGGGCTGTTCGTATGTGCACGGTAAACTTTTTTTTTGGATGGAATGATTACTTGGGGCTCGAAGGTATTTCAAGTTTCATAAAGACAGCTGGGCAAGCGTGGGCTCAGCCGGGGTGGAGTCCACGGTGAGCTATTAACTGTATACGTTGTCCAATCTAAGTAGATTAATGTATGTATGAACAACATTATGAGTCATAAAGACGATAGATTTACGAAATGTCAAATTGTCATGTCGCTCTTTAGTCTGTGGCCTCAATTTTTAGAAATTTAGTTATATACTGTGTTTAAATGGTTAATTTAAAACAATTTCAGCATTAATATGTACTTTAGGTGTTTCTTAGGTGGTTTAAGACATTTTAGCATGATTAAATAGTGTGTTTGAGTGCAAAAATCGTGATATTGTGAAAATTGCTGTTTGTTTACCACATTGATCCACTAGGCTTGGACAAAGTACACACACATTCGTTTGTTAGATTGGAACGACTCGCACGCCACCTACCGTAAAACCGTACGTCGATAATCCTAAACCCAATAAATTCTCTGACTAATCTAACTATTCAGGGATGGTGCATTCATCTACACACAACAGACTACCCGGGATAACGACGATTGAAATAGCACCCAAATGTCGAGAGCTTATCGAATTTGAAAATCGTGGTAAAAATCAGTTAAATATGTAATAAATAGTGTGTACTAAGCTTTGATTACATCGGATAAGCTACGCGCGAATGATCAGGGCGCTCAAGAGAAACAAGCATACAAACTATAATAATATAAGAAGCTTGTTTTTAGATATCATAAGACTCTTCAAATGTTAATTTCAGTTACGACAGAATTAAATAGTAGTCTAGACGTCATAGAGTATTGAATTAATAAGCTGAGGTTACGTAAAACGAATTTTAGTTTTTTTTTTTAAATATAATTAATACTTGCTAATATTGTTGAAATAGTGATTATTAAATGAGTTTATTTTTTGTAATGTAAATTTGGCTATGAATATCCTTTTCCGGATGTATACAAAAAATGCCTTAATAATCTGTAATTTTTTTTTTTTTAATTCTCGGCAGACATAAATTATACTATACATATATACTTTATAGACTGCAAAAAAAAATTTAAACGTGTACTGTAAATGAACATAAAATTCGCGTATTTCTTAGCTACTTTTATTTAGAACAATAAAAAAATAATTATGCAATCGCGAATTAAATAAACAAGCTATCATGACATTCACCTTTTCAAAAATCACGAATGGCGTCACTAATGTCACCTCATTAGGACCTTTTGTCAATGTTTCGAGGAAAAAACAAAAACAAAAAAAAATCCACACCGAAGTTCGAATTAAGAACGCAATGCGCGTGCGCTCCAATACGCGCTCACCGCGCGGTCGAGACGACTGTACTAAGCTGTCGAATGATAAATAAAGTAACAACTTCGTGCAGCCTTCAAATCGAAAGCCGCATTTTTGTGGTCAAGCGTTTCATCCTGAAGATTATGCAAACGAGCCACACACACACGACCTTTGGGATTTCAAATACTTTGCTTTTATGTAAGTCGCAAATGAACGTTAAACAACACAGATAGGTGTCGTTTTATTGAAAGCTATAAATTGATGGTCGAAAAAATCCACAATTAAGCAATTCCTTTGAGAATAAATAACTAGGATAATTATCTTCTTCTTCTTCTTCGTCGCTTTCTTCATTGCTGAAGGTCGTGTCTCTGAAACTTGACCGTTGCCTGTCTCGTGAGCTGTTTCCATCTCGTCCGGTCCTCAGCTGCTCGAATGGCGGTTGCGACTGGCAACCCAGTTAGAGCGGTTACTTGATCACACCAACGGCTAGGTAATCGGCCGCGGGGTCTCTTTCCTTCTACTTTGCCCGTCACAATCACTTTGTCCAAGTTATCTGACTGTCGGCGGGCAANTCGTCCGGTCCTCAGCTGCTCGAATGGCGGTTGCGACTGGCAACCCAGTTAGAGCGGTTACTTGATCACACCAACGGCTAGGTAATCGGCCGCGGGGTCTCTTTCCTTCTACTTTGCCCGTCACAATCACTTTGTCCAAGTTATCTGACTGTCGGCGGGCAATATGACCGAAGTAGCTGAGGATCCTCTGGTAACAGATTGTTGATAATTATAGTGGCCCAATAATAAGAATTTTAATCGTAATCAATGTTAGAAAATATTAGACGCTCATCCATGGACGTATCTGATATTTCGATCGCAGTATCAATTGTTTTGGGAGTAGAAGCGCTGGCTTGGTTACTTTAAAACTGGTTCATTATTATAAATGTATTATTATTTTAGTCAAATGTAATACCTACTGCACATATTTATTTTATTTCACAAACACTTAGGTACTACTAGTGTGGCGAATAACTCTTGATTTCCAAACACGATTCTTAACTTGACACTTGAAAGTCATCGAAAAATAACATCAAGTATAATTAATTTACGTGGTAGCTTTAAAATATTGTTAAAGCAAACGCCTAGTTCAAATTTCAATAAGTTTACTTCGGTTCGTTTTTTAAATTTGTAAATTTTCTAATTTTCTACTCACTCTTTAAGCCGGAACGCATGATGGCTACGTCACTAGTAAATTTCTGTTCGCAATCGCAGTACAATGGTTTTTTTTTCTGAGTACGATGCTACTAATTCTTTAGTGAGTCTATTAGTCGCCTTTTTCGACATTAACGGGAAGAGATAGACTGATCATTCTAGGCTGTTACATTGTAAGACCAACAGTTTTTATTTTCTAATTATCTGCCAGTAGCCTCGAGGGAATATTCTGGCTTCACCATGCTTGGTGTCGAGCTAACTGGGTTTGAGTCTGAAGGGATTTGATGAGAGAATGTGGTCCAAAAAGGAATCAGAATCGCCTGCCGGTACAATGCCTAGAAGCACCAAGAATTGATCAATAGAAACGGAAAGGTGGAAGACAGAATAGCAAGCCGTTGTCTATCTCTACGGTGATAATTAATTTACATTCCAAGCAAAAATCAGTCTGATTGACCGCCTCTGAAAAGTATTGAAAACTGAGAGAGCCACTGATTTGATTACTACGTCATGTTTACTAATAATTTATTCATTACCATTAATTTATTAACCATTAATTTATTTATTACAAATCAAAGTCAGCTGATTTGTAACTTAATCAAACAACTAAATCATACTTCCATAACATAAGTTGTATAATGTAATATTATTTGGCCTTCATTTGGTTTGATCGTTTTAACACTATAATTCGTAAAGTGTGCGTTTCCAAACTCGGAGTTTTATAAGGGAATGTCTCACTAGAAATCACTCGACCTACTGAGCGCTCTATGCCAATACCATTTATTTGGTTTGTGGGTCAACTGTGCGTGTGGTTTTCATTGCGAACCCACGGTTGCTTCATTGTAACTTAAACAGACAAAATGTCTTCATTAAATAGTTAGTATTCATTGTTAAACAAACACATTTAAGAACTAATGACATGTTTCTGTTAAAGAAAACAATCTGTACTTTTTTGTTGTATAACGGGTTTTTAAGCTTTTAGCAATTCTATGGATTTATTATTTCTGTAGATTAGTGAATTTAGTTTTTGTCAGTTGCTCAGTTATAAAATAAGGGTTTGGTAGGCAAAAAGTTTTTTTTACCAACGGACGACATGATAGCAGGAGTATTTTTTTTAAAGAAAAGCTACCTTAGGAGACTGACCCATATTCACGTATATTTTTCTCTTTGGAATTCTCCTAAGCAACCTTAAGATTCTCTATCAGCCTGTAGTGTTCCTTCCTTTTGCAAACGAATGTATCACAGCATATCTCACACTGGCAATGCTAGGGTCGTAGCCAAGCTTGCTGGCTGTGGCTAATATTTTTTTTTAAATCCTCATTTGAAACAAGGGACAAGCCATAGAACTGGAAAAACACTGAGTCATCCAAAAACAGGATGAAACGTACAAAAATAACCTCTTTAAATACACTGTGATTGAACGCATTTTCTGGTGAGAGGAGTGAGGGATCCACAATGTTTGTGGCTGGTGCGATGGTAAAAAGAAGATTAAACAATTATAATATCTCAAACAGTTCCTCGACCTATTAAACACATGGAAGTTTTTGAGTATCGACAATCCGAACAGCCATTATCAATCATTAAGTTGCTCAATTTTTTTATTCTGAAATCCCCTACCCATCTATTTATATATATAAAAATGAATTGCTGTTCGTTAGTCTCGCTAAAACTTGAGAACGGCCGAACCGATAAGGCTAATTTTAGTCTTGAATTATTTGTGGAAGTCCAGGAAAGGTTTAAAAGGTAGAAAAATATGAAAACTCTCGGAATTAAATAAAGTTTAGCTCTTTTATTTATCGATTGAGGCACTACGAAGTCTGCCGGGTCAGCTAGTTCGAAATAAAATTAATACTAAAGCCCATCCAAAACTAATCAAAGGAATCGAATTAGGATTTCCTTCCGTGTAAGTCGTACTCTACACGACGAACATTTTTCAAAAGATGTTGACTTCGATTGGGAATGGGAAGGTCGAATTTGTGGTACTATAATTAGGATTACTATGCGCTAGACCAGTAAGGCGATCTATTATTAGGTTGTGATTTAAATATCCCGATAAACTACATATTTCAATTTTAATATATGTTTCTACTACGCAAAACGTGTTAGACAAAGCTGCCTACACAAAAAAGTTTCACCATAATGTTCACCGCATCATTTCTTTTGTCTCACGATACAGTAATAGAATAAGCTTCATACTGAAATTGAGGGCTATTTTTGTAACGAATATTCTTGACAATTGAATACGTGACGTCAATACCTAAAATAACCCAGCTTATTACTTGTTATACGTACAATAAACATGTTATTGACAATGATGTCGGTGTGATTATATCAAATAATGAGTACAATACTGAAACACCTTTCCATTATGTTTTGTGTTAAAAATAACAGGGTTGCTATTAAAGGATTTTTGCCCTAATCCTTAGAAAATTATGTTGTAATAATACAATGGTGTCAGCTTGTATGGGTTTTAATTTTTAGAGTATTTTTCCCCCTACCTATGCTGACAGCCTTGAGAGGCTATATCAGCTTCGCTCTAACGTATAGGTGAGCTCACGGGGCTCAGACCGGAGTGGTGCTAATACTGGCCCTAGCAAGAGCAGTGCTTCTCAGAATCTACCACCGGATCGGAAACGCGACCCACTGAGAAGATCCGGCGAGAAACTCAGTGGGCTGCGTCTGTGGGTTAATTCGCTCGTCGAGCCCTTTGTCGCAAGCGACGGGTTCGACGAGGACGGTGACCAGTGCTTGTGGTACCTAAAAGCACTGTTGATGGATCAGGAGGATCCGTAATGACGTGTTTTGGGCTAAAGAGTCATAATACCTGTGCTCCGACTTATTTAAGACATGATGATACCTATCTCACAATCTGCCTTAGTTACTTAATTTTTTTGTAACGATTTTAACCTACGGTCATGGTCATGAAAATTAAAAGGCTCTGTGATTAAACTTATTACATTAGATACGCGTGTTGAAGTAATAATAGTCTCATAAAGGTATAAGACTTAATTGCTCTGCGAAGCACTGCTCTTGCTAGGTCTAGTGTTAGGAACGTCCATAGCTCAGAGCCCCGTGAGCTCACTTATTCGCTCGGTGAATCTAGCATGACCCCTCGAAGTCACTAGAATAGGTAGGAAAAAAAAAACGCTTCGGAGATATAAGCACTTGTATTGGGTAAAAAAAATATATTGCAAAAGTTTTGGTGTGCGACCTGATTGGTGTTATGGTCATAGGATCTTATAAACGTTAACGACGTAGATGCCGCCACCCATAAGACGCGAGCTTTAAATCTAAGTGACTTAAGTTTACTTAATGGTGCATACCCCTTATTTTAAAACAGAGCAATTAGATTCAAGCGTTTTTTTAACTAGCATACCAAAAGCTAGATTGAGTGATGAGCGTTATTTATTTAAATTTTATCGTTTTGGGCTTAGATGACTAGTGCGAGTCGTCCAGCCCTACATATGAGAAAACGTCGACCCGTAAGGCGATGTCCGGTAAAGGGCAAGGTTTCTCGACCAAGGACTGTATCGTGAGAACCTTATACTTTATTATTAAAATATGTGAACAATGTGCGTCAATATTAAACTGAAATATAGTCCAAATAAAAAAAAAATACTATTTAAAGAAACTAGTTCCGTATCAGAATGTATGGATTAGAATAGAATACGTTTGAATCAATTAGAATTAGATATTTAGCATTAAAGAACCGTAACGTATCTTATCTTATACCGTTAAACGAGCAATTCTTGTATATATATTAATATATATAATCTGAATCTCGGAAACGGCTCCAAAGATTTTTATAAAATTTAGTATACAGGGGATTCCGGGG